TGGTCATGTTGCCATCTTCGACTTGTATGAGCTTCAAATGTGTAAAGTATGTCTTGGACAAGCAGTATGCCTGATGTATAAAATTCAAATTTCCGCATAAGTTATAGTAATCACAACTTTTCTTCTGATAATAAGAATGCACGTCTCGTATAAGGAGTATGTTTTAGTTATAAATATACTCATTTTAAACTTATGAAGGTTCATATGGACTTATTCATGCTGATGCATCTCCATAGTGTTTCCACTGTTTATCAGTATTATGTTATTAGTGCATGTGAAGTCAAGGACATCGATTGTACAGAAAGACCACCGCCTTTCAATTGATGTAAATTATAGATTTTTCCATGGATCCCTACAGCTGGTGCTGCATTTTCTGGTAGTTGTGGAGTGCACAAGGTTGGTCGTGGTGACTAGTGGTGGTGGTGGTGTGCGGTGACAGCTAGTGGTTGGTGGTAGAGGTGGTTGGTGCCTGGTGGTGATGGCAGGCAGTGGCGGTGGTTGGTGGTGGCTGGCGGCTGTGGCGGTTGGTGGTGGTAATGGAGGCGGCAGTGGTGGTAGTTGGGAGTGGTAATAAATACAGTAGTGATTACATTCTTAGGAATATTTAAGGGAACATCCTAATGTTGAGATTCTGTACAAGATCGAAATAATTCAGACCTATTAAGAGCTAATAAGTTGTTAAAGAAAAACAAACAAATGCACTTAATAGGCTGAATCTGAATGTCCATTAAGTGCAAACAAATGAAGCCTAAGCAGTGTAATCCACTAGAGGTTCCTTCTCTTTTTCTTCGTTCCGAAGGTTCAGAAAGATGGCATGTTGGGTCCACATCCTGTCGTTTATTTTTCTTGATTTACTTGGTTTCTTAGCTATTGTTGCTAATATGATCTTAATTTCATACTTTGGACAATAGGGAATTACGAGATAGCTTCTTCATCCTTGCAGGAATGCTTGGTACCTACCTTAATGTTGTGGTTAGTTATCCTTATCTTTGGGGGTTAGTGGTTATTTTCATAGTATAATTTTCAACAGACACTTTATGCCAGATGATAAGATAAACTAAAAATTTCACACCTGAATTTTATCATCTTGCATCCTTTCTCCAACTGATAGTTAACCTAAGCCCTTCTCTTTTGATCTATGTTCTCTTTCCTCCCCTCTGCAGGCTCTATCTGCTTTATTTCTTCTGTTCTCGAGCTGGTTAGCATACGTCTTCTTTGAAGACACGCGTCAGGGGAAGACAACGTTTACTTCGTACGGCACCACGTTGTACCAAATGTTTGTCTTATTCACAACATCAAACAATCCAGATGTCTGGATTCCTGCGTACAAGTGAGTGCCTCAGAAAATTGTCTTAAGTCCCCCTTTTACTCTCTATAATACCGTTGAAGTTTGCCTAAATCTGGAATGTGTAAGATAGTTTTGCCATTAAAAGCTCTGAGTTTTGGTTATGTTTATGGTTACAATCAAAGATAGCGTCTCCCACCTTCATAACAAGAGAGCAATCTGAGCAACGTACATCTTGCTCTCATCGTCAGCTTTCTTACTGAGTGTTTTCTCTTATTAAACTCAATTTTTGAGTTAATTTTTATTTCCATGTAAACTTTTGAGTTGAAACCTGTATTATGTATTTTTCCTTTCAGGGACTCACGTTGGTACTGCTTGTTTTTTGTTCTGTACGTGCTATTGGGCGTTTACTTTGTTACCAACTTAATTCTTGCTGTTGTATATGATAGCTTCAAAAGTGAGGTAATGTCTTCCATCGTTTTTGCTTCAAGCTGTTGCAAATAATTGCCACCATGTTAGTGTTTGCCATAGCACATAGCACGTACTTTTCCTGTAGATTTTGCACCTTGCACGTATATATTTATTTATTTATTTATTCTTTTTTGGTTGTAGCTTGTAAAACAAGTGGCTGATAAAGATCGTTTGAGGCTAAGGACTTTGAAGAAAGCATTTAGCTTGATTGATGAAGCTGTGAGTAGGACACGTCACAACTGGTTCTCCAATTAATCTTCTGTGGTTTACATGCATTTAATATGCTTCTACTCCTTCCTTTTACTCATGGAAGAGAAGCTTCTATCCTTGTTCTTTCCTTTTCCAGAAGAAAAATGGCAGTAACAGTTTTTAATAAGAATATTTTCCCGCACAAATCTTATGTAGGCATCCTGTATATTGTATGTAGTTGCCTGCTTCTGCTCACAGATCAAATTTAGAGAGAACGTAATCTAGCACCAACAAGAAGAGGGATTATATTTTTTTGATAAAGTAATAATTCCATTAATGTGATGGGAAAACTTACAGTATTAGAAGATAGATTATATTGAGAACTGAAAGAGGCAGTTGATACAGTTCCGATGACTATAGGACAGACACCTTCTGGTATTCTCATACGCAGAAACAGGTAGAACAAATTTGCATTGGTGTTTAAAAGGCATAATAGAATTTGAAGATACTTCTTGCTCCCCTTACCTGAATGATTCCAAACAGGTTTACATGTGTGTGTGTGTGTGTGTATCTATGTTATTCATGTCAAGTGGGCAGCTCGGCCCGTAATCGGTCTGGTGCCATACATAAAGAGCCTGGTCAAATTTGTCTTTAAATTGGCCCATTCTGGGCCTCTCTTATAAGTGAACCAGCCTGGTACCAGTGACCAATATACGAGTTAGCCTGGCCTGGTAGGAAAGAGTTGTTGTTTTCAAATTTTAGTAGTTTGTGTTATGAAATTCAAATTTTAACTATCAACTTTCATGTAATTATAAGTTTCAACTTTTTCATATTTAATGAAATTTGAGATCTTCCTTTTCTTCAAATTTTGGTATCCGCATTAATTGTTTAAATTACGATTTACTATTAATAATTCGTAAAACACATTTAACCCAAAAAAGTGAGTTCGGCCCGCTATGCACCAGCCTGAAATTTGGTCAGGCCCGTTTGACATGAATAGCTGTATGTAAGTATGCATAGGTAGCAACACAAGGGTGAAGGTAGAAAGAAGATAATGGAAAAGGAGAAAGTACTTTCATAGATTTCTGTTGTGGTCAAGAATTTAATAGGTAATTTTTTTTTTGATTTACTATGAACTTCTTCCGGAAGGGTTTTATGTGTCCTTAAATCTTATGGTTGCCATTCCTTTTAAAGTTGTCTTCTTTTGACATTGGCAGAACAATGGGCACCTCAACGAGAAGCAATGTACCCTTCTGTTTGAGGAACTTAACAAATACAGGTAACGTTCAGACATGTACAGTTCTGCTGCTATGCACTAGTTCTTCTCATTAATTGTCTTCTTTTTGTAGTGTGGCTCATACTTCCATTCCTTGAAACTGAAATTGACCTAACAGTTGCAACTTGAACTGGATAAGGCCGTTTGATAAAATTCAAATCAACATGTTGGCTGTAAAGCTTTCAAGCTGACAATGTAGTGAATCTGCGTTTTGGGACACAGCATTTCCAGTACTGGCATGAGAGCAATCTGATGTTGCCACGGCCATTTACCATGAAGCTTTAATTGATTTAGCGGCTTACTTAGGATATTGTCCAGGCTGCGCACACTGTAATAGGCAATAGCTGCATTCTCGGAGACATCATGCTTAGTGGCACCATTCATCATAAAACTAATTAAATCATTCCCACGAATTGGATTTTCAACCTATGACCATATGAAGATTTTCTCGCTTCTAAGTAGTGGTTACATGAGTAGACCTTCTTCCATTTGTTGTTGCAAGGTCAATTGAGCAAGAAAATAAAAGAAACCTTTACCTTTAAGTTTTATAAAAAGAAAGAATGTCTTCTATTTATCTGAGAGAAAGGAATATTCAAATTTTGATATATCTTGTCTTCCATTTAACTGAGAGAAAGGGAATATTTAAATTTTGATACTAATGTACTTTAGGAGTGCAACAACAAAAAAAAAGGCATTTCTCAAAACTTGTATTTGATGGTTCACCTGTAAATTGCTGGTTGTTCGTGTACTAGTACATGCAACTACATGTGTCAGTTTGCTTCCCAGGATTTAGCTTGTGATACAGCTAGTTCATATTCTGTAATCATTCCTGTATTACTAGCCAAGGGGACACTAGTGAAGCAGCAATGCCTGATCTGAATTGTGAAAGCTGATCCTGGTTATGAGCTAGTAGACTGAGAAGGAAGAGGACAGTTGATTAGCTGGTAGTCTCTTCTAGATAAAATTCAGTTCATACCTTTTGACTAAGCTTCTCTCTGGTCATTGTAATTTTACAATCAGCTGTGGCCTTGACGATCATTTTGGAAGTTTAGCAAACTTCGCTTTAACTTGAAGTCACTTTGACAACGCACCTTAGGTTATTAAAATAGTTTCATGGCTAGCTGGAGCACCTATGATATAAGTTTAGCTAGTGTCTTTAAGGAGTTTGAAAATGAATCTTCTGTTATTAAGCATACTATTAAACAGATCCATGTACGGGAAATACAAAACCAAAATGGGTTCTGTAAAAAAATAAGCATAACAGTCAATGTCATGATTAGTGATTTGATGCTCAGGAATAAATCTACCCTCTATACTCTTCTGTTTTTTATACTAATAGTTATTGTTGGTTTTCTTTGGGGATGATATAATTAAAATTCTGTTTGTACCTATTTTCAGATACTGCTGCGTTTGAATTGACTTATGTTATCTTCTCTTTGGATACATGAATATACTCCATGTCATGCACTTTTTCTTCCACGTATATCAGTCAAGTTTCCACAGTGCAGTAGACATTGATACACACTATCTTTAAATGTCTTTAGGACATTGCCGAAAATATCAGGAGATGATTTTAAGTCAATATTCAGTGAGCTGGATGATACTGGTGACTTTAAGGTACTTAAGAATCTTTTTTAATTCTCTGATACAGTGAGGTACTTTCATTCTCGTTACTCTCCATTTCTCTTGATTTGTACACATTTGAATTGTTCTCATAATTGAATAGTGACTTTAACAGTTTATGTTTTAATTATTTTCTTTGGAAATTTTTGAAATATTTTGATAGTGTGAGTTGGCTACATTTTCCTCTGTATATATTGTTTGGATAATGACAATGATGCCCCATTACATTTGTAAAGGGTCTAGCGTAACTTTTCATTGTTTTTTTTTTGGTTTCCCGCCTAGTGTCCGGTACCCACATTGGGGCACGATCACATCCGGATTCGCGCCGGAAAGTCCCACATTGGGGGGGTAAAGCGCTCCCTAATAAAGGTGACTCTATATGCAGGGCTCGAACCCAAGACTTCTGGTTAAGGATGAAGGACTGCAGTGTTGTCAAAGGCGTGCTTAAAGCGCGCTTAATCCCTGAAGCGAGGCTCAAAACACGTTGAGCGCTTCGCCTCTCTTTGTGGGCGCTTTAGTGTCGCATCAAAGCTCTAAGACATATTTTTCCTTGCCAATGAGTGTAATCCTGAAAAGGCGACATTAAACAATTGATATTTTACTTTATCATGAATTGTTTTTCAATTTCTTTGTTCATATATTTGTTATTCATGCTTATAATGATTAATCTTGGACTAAATGCATATTTTTACTTTTTCTCCCGTTGCACCTTTTTTCATTAAAGCCCACGTTTTACTTGCGCTTTGCGCTTAAATCCTCGCCTTTGATAACACTGTGAAGGAATACTTACCAGTTACTACTCCACCATAACCCTTGTTGGTGGAACTTTTCATTGTTGCCAATGCTATTAGCTACTGTAGATCTTGTCTTACTGTTATGCTTTAGCTTTTGTTTTCGTTGTTACAGTTTATCTTGATGATCTTGACCACCCAATAGGGTTGCCAAACATTTCCAAGAACATTATTACATGGAAAACGGATTTTCCTTTTTAACTTGTCATTGATATTTGCTCCCGTTTGGCCATAGATTTTGGATTCATTTTTTAAAATATTTTTTGAAAACATTGTTTGTTTATGAAATATGATCATGTTTTGGGGAAAAAAATTTCAAAATTTTTCAAGTTTCCAAAAACTGGTTTAGGGCAGTTTTTGGGTGAAAGTTTTTCTTCCACTCGCAAAACTTCAACTTTTCTTCAAATAAAATGCATGTCCAAACACAACTTCAGCTTTCAAAAATTATTTTTCAACGTAACTTCAAAAACTCTTTTTTCAAATTTCAAGCAAATCTATGTCCAAACGCTAGCTTAATTTTTTCAGTCTCAAACTTCCATGTCTCAAACTTGAGTTTTACGTTTAAATTATGAAAAATTATGTGATAGATTAAACTACCTATTTGGTATTTTCCATCGCTTCTCAAAGTCAAAATTTTGGTTTATCCTATCAATACTTGGTGTGTTATCGGAATGGGTGATCAAGTTGAATGACTTAGCACCAGAGCTTGATGTTAAGCAATAAACACATCTGTCTAGTACCTTACGATTTCAAGTTGTTAGATCTTCTTAAGTTTAAGAACTTCAAGTTTCTCATATTTATGCATGGAACCAGATGGGTGTCTGAATTATAGGATCAGATCCTTTCCATGAAAGAAGTCTATTCTTAATCACCAAAATTTCATCTTCATTTTTGTTCTTTCACCTCTCATAAACTTCTCTCTTTCAAATGCAGATAAATTTGGATGAATTTGCTGATCTGTGCACTGCCATTGGACTAAGATTTCAGAAAGAAGATTCAGTGAGTCCATTTACCCTTTTGGTTACAGTTTGAAGGTGACACCAGAGAATCCTTCATGTTCTGTTTTCTATTGCAGCTGCCAATCTTTGAAGCATGTCCAAATTTCTATCATTCACCAGCATCAGAGAAGTTGAGAGGCTTCGTCCGTGGAGCTACGTTTGAGTACATAATAGTGTTCGTTCTCCTTGTCAATCTTGTTGCTGTTATTATTGAAACTACGGTATGAATCAAACTCTGTACAATCTCTAATTGGATTTTGGATGCAAATAAATAATATTTCTATGCAAAAGTAGCCGCAGCATATAGATCTGTTAGTGGTATTGGAACTTGTGAAGTGATATTAACTCCTTTTAGTATGTGATCTGTTAATTGTTGAACAATCATGTCTATAAAGTAAACTGATATGGAGAATACATTACCCTTAGATTACCAACCACTGATCCCCCAAACTAGTCTTAACTAGCTACCACCCTAATTGTTACAATTGTGATCTTGAATTAAGCTTAAGTGTGGCGTCCAGTGGCGGAGCTAGGAAATTAAGGGGATTCAAAAGATAAAGAAGTAAACACACAAAGAAGCACAGGGATTCAACATATGGTATATATACATAAAAAGATTTGACCTATCTATATAGTGTAAATTTCCGGCGAAGGGGTGTCAATTGACTCCCCTTGGACAAGGGTAGCTCTGCCTGGTGGCATCCTTCCCCTGTTTATAAGAATGAGTACCTCCTGACTCCATTAAACATGCAGCTGAGTATTGATCCTGAACAACCGAGGAACTTTTCTTGCTTTGTTTATTGTCTAGTGCTTTTGATATGGTGTGGAGGCAACATCAAGGAAGTGGGGTTGCTCTTCTATGTCTGTTAAGAATAACACAGTGCCATTTATACAAGTTCTCTTTAATTACCTCAGAGAAACCTTCTCTTCCAAATCATTTACGTTTGAAAGGACCAGCACACCTTACTGACCACCTGAGTTTTGGGGAAAGTGTCAACATTCTCACCCAAAAAAAAGTCAAGATCCTCATATGATATGATATTGTGATGGTTTCAGTTTTTTTTCTTTCATGGATGTCAATGAGTAAAGCTTTTGTTTGGGTGGTGAGTTTTTTGCTTGTATGTATAATACATGAGACAAGGACTAACGACTGAAGAAATATCCTGTTCTTTTTATTGTTTTTGTTTACATCTTTTCTAAGTTCAGGATGAATCTCACTGACTTTCTCTGGTGGTGTATTCTAGCTTGATATACAGAACAACTCAGGTCAAACCTTTTGGCAGAAGGTGGAGTTCACCTTTGGTAAGTCGCATAATGAATTTCAGGGCTTGGTACCAATATTTCTAGAAATTAGATATTTTCTTTTTTCATTCATGAGATTCTGGTTATAGTTTGACCCCGTTAGGTAGAAAGTTATCCAGATGGTTTTATGTCAGTGGTAACCACTCTTGTTACCGTTTACGTCAATTACCATACCTAGTAGAGGATTCATTGTTTTAGGCAGAGATATAAATATATGGCTTCTGAATTGTGCTGGTTGTATTTTGCGTTTTTATTTGATATTTCAAATGTTAAAACTTTTTCTTGCCCTAACAGTTCTTTCTGCTGAATTTGAGGACTTCTTTAAGTTCTTGAGATTTGACTTCAATATTGTTAGATCCTTACTTAAGAGTGCATCACCCCTTTTTTTAATTTATACTTTTTTTTGATAATGGGAAAGCTTTTATATGTAAGAAGTATACCAAAATGTAGAGAATCTACAGAAAGATATGGTTCTCTACTAGACACACCCAATCTTCTATACAAATAGGAAGCTCATAATGTCATCAAAAAGACATTAGAGTAGGAGGCTATCCCTCAGATGTACAAAATCATGCTCTTTCCGTTCTCCTATTTCTTTCCCTCCATACGATCTACATAAGTGCTAATGGAGCAAAATCCCATGCCTGGCGTCTGCTCTTCGTCCTCTAACGGCCCAACTGAGTAACGCATCCTTCACAGTACCCAGCATGATCCATTGTACGAACCATCTAAAAAGCTCCACCACAGACGTGACGCTACCTGACAATGTAGTAAGAGATGATCCACATTCTCCTCCGAGTGTTTACACATGAAGCACCAACTAGTTGAGACGTATGAGAGAAAAACCTGGAGGTCCCAGGTTCAAATCCCCGTTACACTGCTTGGGATTTTTGTTCAAATACCCATTTACGTTACTTGAAAAAGGAAAGTAAGACACATATATTGAGACGGAGGGAGTACCATTTTTAAAAGAAATCATAAAAAAGCGCAAGACACCAGTAAGTTCGGCAATATGGCAAAGTACAGCAGTGGCCCATTTCTTTAATCTGAAAAAGTTTCATTGTCTACCTGCCATGATCATACCCAACAAAAGGTTTCTAGAAAGTTTCATAAAAAAATTATGTTGATGTCTTTATTGCCCAAAAGTTTGGCGAAAAGAGACCTCGCTAGTCATTTTTTCTGTCAAGGAGTTTTTGTTTTCTCTCTATCTGCATTTTGGGAAAGTACCTTAAGATGTTCCGTTCTTTATTATCTTACTTTAGGTGCCTGAAAAAGGCTTAACCCAACTGCAAATAAGCAACAGTTATTCACTTCTATAGGCAGTCTCTTGTTGCATCTGAACTTCTTTAGATTCGTGTAGCCGAAGCAAGTTTTACACTCTTTTAACCACTAAATAATCCTACTTATAACTCAGAGTACCATGTAGAGGTTATGCCGTTCTGTGCCTGCTTAGAGCTTGGAAAGACAAATGAAATGTCTCTTAAGGTATAAGGATATTAGGGAAAGGGTAAGGGTATTGGTATTGAAGACAACAACAACATACCCAGTAATATCCCTCACCGTGGGTTCTGGGGAGGGTAGTGTGTACGCATACCTTACCCCTACCTTGTGAGGATAGAGAGGTTGTTTCCAATAAACCCTCGGCTTAGGAAAGCATAAGCACCACATTAATGAACGTATTGGTATTGAAGACCTAGATATTTTGTCTTCTTCTCCTTAGACTTGGGAGTTGTCCTCTACAGTCAATTTAATGCGTAATGATCTTGTACACTTGGAGTAATTAATAAGAATATTTAGATTTCTTCTGCTATCATTTTGATGGTGCCCCTTTGACTTCAAAACATTATTTTCAAATTTACAGGTGTATTGTTCTTCATAGACCCTCATCTTAAAATTGTGGTGCTATGCTTACTTCTTTGAGTTAAGCATATTTGGGATTTTACCATTTTCTACTTTGTTGCACAGGCTGGCTGTATGTTATTGAGATGGCACTAAAAGTGTATACTTACGGTTTTGAGAACTATTGGAGGGATGGTCAAAATCGATTTGATTTTGTCGTCACTTGGGTCATTGGTAGGTTTCAAATGTTTTAAACCCTGATTTCTCTTAATTAAATTTTATATCAAGTACTGTAGTAGCACTTGTATTGACATTTCAAATTGTTTGGCTCATAGTTTTATTTCTTTGATCTCTATTCATATTCCTTTTATAACATATGTAAGGTTGTATCTGAAAGTGTCTTTTGAAATGCGCTATATTACTACACCTTTGTTTGATAATGCTTGCAGTTTCTTTAAGTCCTGCATTGGTTGAGTGAATGGGTTGTGACTATGGTCTTAGGCAATCCTCACATTATGAGCTAGCTTTTTAGGTTGAGTTAGGTCCAAGGTNCGTAATCCACGCTCCAATTGAGTCCTGAGGGTATAGGGGAGCGTTGAGTCCCACATTGATTGAATAAATGGGTTGTGGTTGTGGTCTTGGGCAATCCTCCCCTCAAGAGCTAGCTTTTGGGGTTGAGTTAAGTCCAGGCGCCATATCTTCACGCATATTATGTCAAGGATAGAGAAAAGACAAGAGATAAGAGATCCTCTATAGCTTTTAATTAACTAGGACTTCACAACTCTCAAATGAAGTAGTTGAACTTGGATGGTTATTGGTGATATACCTTGCTTGTGTCCTTCCATCATCCCACCCCATCCGAAGAGAAAAACTCAATGGAAAGATAGGATACAATTTTGTCATGCTGGGAAATGGCAGTTTATGTGAAGTATGGTGTCTTACTTGAAAGATATGCGCACTTCCATGATTTGAATTCATTTATTAGAGGTGGTTGTTTGTCTTTTTGCTAAAATATGGTGCACCACTGCCAATACTTCTCTGGCTGTTCAAGAACGATCTTATTTTCTAATAAACAAGTATAATTATGTGAACTCATTCATCAGTGTTACTGTTTGTGAAGTTCTTTGCATTAATTGGCACTTCTCACTTCTATGGACATAGTGAGATTGGTAAAATCATTTTCTCTGCTTTTACTGGTTCTAACTCATTTTATGGATGAATTCAATTTTCACAGTTATTGGAGAAACAGCTACTTTTGTAGCCCCTGATGGTCTGACTTTCTTGTCCAATGGAGAATGGTAAAGGCCTCTATAGCTCATATTGCAGGGACTGCCAAATTTTCTACTCTTTGCAATTCTGGCATTTCTTGAGTACTTTAATTATTTTTCTGAATATATTACCATGTACAAGCAAAAGACTTTTTGGAGACGGTGAAATAGATGCGTGTCTCCATGATTTGATTGATGTTTTTTCTTCCTCAATAGGATAGAGTTTTGATTTTTTTTCTATGTGCTGTGTTCTGTATACTACTCTTAAAGTGAGGTATTAATAAGATTTAGGTGTTGTAGCTAGAGAATAGAGGCTAGAGAATGATTAGAAAAATTCTTAATTATCCTTACAGTGGTCACAACACAAGTCCTAGTATAATGCACATTCACATCTTCATGTGATTGCCTAAGATTATAGCATTGTCAAACTTTTAGAGTATGTTAATAGAATGTGTGTCACCGCAAGAGAATGAGAAACCCACTATTGGGTGCTTACAGTAAACAGGAATATGGTTGCACAGTTTACTCCGTGTCTTTTCTTTCTGATGCTTTACAATTTAGCGCTCCTGTCTTTTGGTTAGACTAAATGCTTCTGTGTGCTGACAACTATGTTGCTTACAGGATTCGCTATCTTCTTATCGCAAGAATGTTACGATTAATAAGACTCTTGATGCACGTTGAACGCTATCGTGCTTTTGTTGCCACATTTTTTACCCTTATACCAAGTCTGGTGCCATACTTGGGGACCATATTCTGCATCTTATGCTTTTATTGCTCTCTTGGTTTACAGGTACATTTGACTTCTTTTGTTGCTATTAGCCTATTACTATGCTAATCACTCCATTAGGATTTCATTCCTCTCATTTTCTGCTTATTAAATGAAGTAGCTTTCAAAAAATTTGTCCTGAAGTAATGGTGAACTCTGTTTTTAATCTTTCTGAAGTATAGACCTCCTTGTCCTTAACTTGACTTTTTCTCTGTTAGATTGCCTTTGGTTGCAGATTTTAGTCTATATGGCGTCATACAAGAAACTGAAATATCTTTTCCTCATCATTTTCTTTATTGATATTACAGTATTGTGTGTCTACTATTTTCCTATGCTTCCTCTGCCTTTTCATCCTTAGTTTCTTCTTTTAACTTGTGCAGATCTTTGGGGGGATTGTCAACACTGGAAACCCCAATTTAGCCCAAACTGATCTTGCTGGTAACGAGTATCCTTTTGTCAATGGTTAAATTAGAGCATTCTACAGGACAATTTTTCTTAACAAACGACAAGGGGATAATCTTTTTGTTGTTTCATAATTATCTTCTTGGAAGAACCTATTTTATCCTATTTATCATATAATATCAAGATCCCTTTTTCTTGTTGCATATTCTTGTGCTGTTCTCCACTTGGAAGTCAATTTATCAATTTTGTTTTCTTGACAGTCTAAGCTATTTGCTTTTTAACTTCAATGACTATCCAAATGGCATGGTCACACTTTTCAATATATTGGTGATGGGAAACTGGCAAGTGTGGATGCAGGTATCCTGATTTTAGGATTTCCTCAATTACCATTATATCTGCTTAGAAGAACTATCTTTTACTTGTATTTTTCGTCTTTTATCATTGAAATTCTTCATAAATCAGTCCTGTATTTTTCATACATTTAAAGTAATATTTTACTGAATTCTAACTTTGTTTCGTCAATGCTGTGATAGATATTTGTCTTTACAGATTGTGAATTAATTCCTTTGGAGGAAAAATTCTCCTGGATAATTGAGATGAAAGCTTGTCGTGTGGTTTTAAGAAAATGAGAATCTTACAGACGAAAAAAGTAACATCCATGTGCATTCACTTATACAGTGCACACATCACTTGGATTAGGGTTTCCGAAAGAGTATAATGGTTCTAGACTACTGCACCTGCTAGAAAATATTACACTTGTCCCTCATTGGTTGTGTAAGGGTTTCCAAAGGAGCTCAAATGATACTGAACTACTCCAATTGGCTTAAGGTTCTAGGATTTTGATGCTCAAATTCTTTAAAATCGTATTAGAGCTAGACCTATTCCTATTTTTCTTTTATCAAATATGGGCCCCCCAATTAATATTGTCCACGCACCAATGCACAGTCCCATGCATGGGGAAGGCAGGGATGTTAAGTATCCCATGCGATGAGCAGTTGCCTTCCCTTCTTATAAGGTTTTGGGAAATCCTCACCTCATGAGCTAGCTTTTAGGGTTGAATTAAACCCAATGTCCATTTTCGTAACCGCACCCATTACTTTAAAGTTTTGGTTTGGATGCTCAAATATTTCAGCATGTATCTGATCCAACCTTTGGTAGACCTGGACAGACACTTGTAAGTCTGATTCATGAACTCTATAATCAGGTTATGTTGGAGACATGCAATATCCTAGACGAGTATGTAAGGGTTTTCACTGATCTAAGACTTTGACCATTAGGCTGAGCATCCACCATTAGGCTGATGCTCAGATTCTTTCATAATGTTTATATTGACAAGTACATATACAGGAGGTATTTCTGTTATTCAGGAACATTTCCTCTGCTATGAGATGGTGATTATTATGTAGAGTGGTAATTAACAATTTTGAGAGAGGAGAGTGTTTCTCTTTTTTGCTTATTGAGTACTCACCAAAGAGATGGAAGTCGAAGACACTTGGCAAATTTCTGATGTTTGAGTGGTTTGTGAAAAGCCAACACCATTTGCTCATCCTTCTTTATGTGGTTTAAAAGATCAACGTTCTATGAATATCACAAATCTGGTTTTTTTTTTTCATTGCTCGGGTGCGGGTATCCGATACGGGGACGGATCTGAGTATCGGATTCGATAAAATCTAAATTTTAAGATTCGGGGGTGCGGATCCGGATATGGATACGGGTGCGGAGATTCGGCTAATAAAAAATAGAGCTATAAAAAATTATAAATTTTGAGAGATATTCTGTGAAAAACTTACATGAATATTGTACAATTCAATCTTTCATTCTCCAAGATGGACATTATTCTTTTATTGTTTTAAATCTGTTTTATTTTTTATTTTGAGAAATCAAAATCTCAATTTTTCTCCCAAATTTGTCGATGGACTCCGGTCAAAGTGTCCGAAGTCAGTTGACCGTATCCCGTCCCCATATCCGTATCCGGACGGGGGCGGCACCAAAATCGAAGAGTCCGCGCAACTTAGTTGATAAGTCATAGGTTTGGTTTCTCTTAGTGCTTTTTTGAGTATTAGCCCATACGTGAACAAAGTGGACTTTCTTTACAAGTTTAAATTATGTATTTGAGGATTCAATGAATCGTGGGAACTTATTAACTTTGAGTAACCTGTAGTAAGATGTTAGTTGTTACAACTATTTGCAGTTTTTGCATCTTTCATGCATTGCTTTATCGTGCAAATATAAAGAGTTTTGATGATTAATTCCATTTTGACAGTTCTGACCTGGCTGCTTTCCTAACTTGATGAATTTAAGTAGGTATATCTTATTACAATGGGTGATCCAAGTAGCTGATAATAATTTCCTAACATTTCAGAGCTACAAGGAACTAACGGGAACTGCCTGGACTTATGCCTACTTTGTCAGCTTCTATCTTATCTCAGTTTTGTGGCTGTTAAATTTGGTAAGCATCCATGTCTACTCTTTTCAAAGTCTGGTCTCTATACTTCCACTGAAGCTCTCCATAAACATAAAGGCAAACCAAAAAGTAAATTTCATTGTTGAGATAAGTCCTCATGAGTTCACTATGCCAGATAACATAATTACATTGGTAATGTGTCTGTTTGCATAAAATGAGGGTACTTCTCCAGTGGCTACCCATTTTTTGATCTCTAGGTACTTGAAGGTATACTACATCAATATCCAGTTTGTTATCTGTGTTTTATGTGCCTGCTCTTGATCCCTCCTCTTCTCTTAATGCGCAAAACAGACTGTTATATTGCTTTATTTGTGATTCAACATGTTTATGAGCTGCTGTCTGCTAAATTTATGTGCCTTTAAATTCCCTTGAGAGCTAATTATTTTGATGACTGGAAATATTCTGTATCCAAATTGATGTTTCCTAAGACCTTTGATTTCTCTCTCCATGATTGATACGGAAGTTGGAATTTGGAAAAGTTAAACCACTCAAAGCTGACCTCAAAATGTTCTAAACCCATGCCAGGAAGATTCCTCCTTCCTAAGTGGGAAGGATTTAGTTCCTTTAGATTATGAATCATCTGAGAAGATATAATCTAAATATGTTTACCCACCCATATAACGGACATCTGACACACACATACATACATATATATATATATATATATATATATATATATATTCAAGTAGTCTTATTCAAGCCAATTCAAGCTAACTCCGTGTTTTGCTGCTGATATTTCTGGATCTTCATATTTATTTTATATTTATTCAATTTAAAAAATTTCATAAATGAGAAGATGTTTGAACAGATAGGTACCAGTTTTTTTTCATACAGAGTAATTAAAGAATTCTATACAGTTGACTGCCCATTTAGAGCCATTAATTGGGAAGTTGGACATTTATCATCACTGGATAATTCATGCACGAGTCAACTTGCCTTTTTCTTGATGACCTTAAGATCTCCAGAGATTTCATGGCTTTCCCCAGCCATGTTAGCATCACTAGCCTTTAGACTTTCCACTTCAGCGACCTTCCTGAGAGGGGTCAATAAGAAAACAACCCCTGCTTCGATCGTAGCGCTAGGAGTAATAGATTGAAGTAAATGATAAGGCATCTGCTTTTTTTTCAGAATTGCTAGATTTGTTCTGATGGCTGTCAAAATGGTCTCAGAAGCTTAGTTATGTATGCACAGATAATGATATAAGTAAGAAGTAATGCATGAATGTAATTTCGTAACATTTATGTTCTTGGTAGTGATACTGGTACATTTGAATATTGGAATGAAATGGGTCCAAATGGAGCAAAATGAATACTGAGGGTTCATACAGCTGATCCCAACTACTTTAAGGTTGAGGCCTAATTGTTATTGTTCTTGTAGTAATACTGGTTTGTGTGTACGACTATATTCTATATCAACGCAAGGTAGCTTAATTGTTCTACTCCTGCTCAATAAATTACAGAAGTTGTAATATTGCATATTTTTTAGAAACTTTTAGCTAATGATTTGTTTTTTATAGTTGATCTTATCATTTTTGCTTTTCCTTTGTGTTCGGACACTTTCTTCTTTCCTAAGTATTTATCCTCTGTATAGCCCTATAGCATGTATCAGTGCTGAAACGATAAACTAACACTTCACCTTTGCTTGGACTTTTTTAGATTGTAGCATTTGTCTTGGAAGCATTTCAAGCAGAAGTAGATCTAGAGGCATCAGCGAGATGTGTGGATGGTGATGACAAGGTTAGTTTATGAACAGCAGATAATTATTTCTTGTTATTCCTTTGCGGACAGGAACATCTTGAAAGACTCTAGCGAGTTGTTGGAGTTCTTGGCTCATCATAGAAATGCTCTGTTATTTTTTACCCTCATGAAAATTGTAGCCAGCAAAACTTACAAAGAGATATTCCTTCATGAGCTACCAGATAGGCCACTCTTAAAAAGAGAAGAACAGAAGCTGTTTTCAAATCATAATAAAATATTACTGCTAAATGTAGTAGCATATGGAATGACACCAACAAATATCTTGGTGCAAGCTATATTTAGCTTCTGCCCTATAAAACCTGTTTCTCTACTCTTCTCCCCTCACTTCCTCCTATTGTTAAATCCCCCAACTCTCTGCATTTAAACCAACCATTACACATCTTTTTCTGCAGCAGTTTTCATAACATACTAAATTGTATTCTTAGCTTTCATCACTATATAACCCTCAAACAGTTCAAGACTTTTATGTCTTTCCACCAGCCTACCCTCTGGTTTGCTCCTTTAGTCTTGAACCAAGTCCTCGTTAAACAAACCAATCGGTACTAACCTTGGAGATGTACATCTCTTATTTCGTTACTTAGCAGTGTTATCTTTGCTAAATAATAAGTATTTATACACTTTATTTCTAAGTACTCTTGTGAACCTGAATTCTCTTTCTATAATTCAGGAAGCAAAAAGTGAGCGGCGACGTAATGTTGGGTATGTGTTATTAACTAATTTTAAACTGTGAGAAATTTTCATTAACGCATATAGGATGTAACCAATTTTCTGATTGACAACTTCCATTGCACAGCACTAAGACTCGGAGCCAGCGAGTAGATTTCCTCCTCCATCACATGTTGAGATCTGAACTAACAGAATGCTCCAATGAGAATCCATAAGTTTGCTCCTTTCTCCATGCTGGTAACTTCATTTTTTTTTGGTTTAATTTGAATCTTGTTATTTTTTCCACAAACCTAATCATTTTTATTGTTTAATTTGAATCTTCTTATTTCTTTCCACAAACCTTCTTCAATATTGCATCCTTCATCATTATGTGGACATACACTAATATGTCCAAACCCATTTCTGATTGTAAACTTGACAGAAATGCTCGCATTATAGGTGTAAGCTGTTGACTCTTAACTATTATTTTTCCGTTAATTTCAGCTTTCTGCAGTCGTGTGAACATCAGAAGTTGAGTTATTTTGGTGGTGAAGAGAAAGCAATGTACATCTCCAACTAATTATGTGTGTGTATCGTGAATTGTAGTGTGCTCTGTAGTATAAATTCCATCAAGCCTAAACAAAATTTTAGCTGCTCCACTCAAACAAGCAATTAGCCAAAGTAATGTAGTAGTATCATTTATCTGCACCTTTGGGAAAGGATGTAAGGAAAAGATGCCCTTGTTTCACCTATGAACACCTCACACGCTGCTTTTTTCTCAATATTGTACGTTGCTTGCTTCTAGTTTTTCACTCTGCTGCTCAAACATTCAAGTTAAAACATGATGTACTCAACAATTTTTAGTTTTTCACTCTATGTGGTCTATTGTTTAATTGATGCATATCTTTATGTTACTTGTTTAAGGTGATGCAAAATAAATCTTGGGAACCAATTGTGGAGAATTTAGGCTATATAGCCAAAATGTATTGCTGTTGTTTTATTGGAGAACATAGCTGAAATGCTTGTACCGTTTCACATCATTTTCATGAAAGCATATATATAAGGGTGCTTTGACACGAAATCGTGAACAATCTTTTGCACCATTCCTAGTTCCTAGTGAAAAGGAAAATAAAACAATTAATCATTCTGGATACTGCTTCTCTGTATATCACCATTGTTAGTGAAAAGGGGATGCACCTTCCAAATGTATTTAATGGCTTGGCAAATGTGTTACCTATTACGACAGTTAAAGATGATTTGATAGTGTAAAAATTTGGTGTATATTACTTAATAAAATAAGAGCATCCTTGATAATCATATTATTATACTAAAAGTAGGAAGCTTCTACATTTCACAGTTGAATAATATCCTTTAAAATCTAAGTTACAATTTTGTCCCTATTAAAATATCTGATCTTCCACAAAACAATTACTCTTTATTATTACATTAACGTGGTTGAAGATGGAGAATTGTTTATCTACCTATAATTAGTGGGCGTTTGGACATAAGAATTGTAAAATTCTAAAATAGGGGGAAAAGTTTTTGAAGTGAAAATGGTATTTGAAATTTAGAGTTGTGTTTGGACATGAATATAATTTTTGGTTGTTTTTGAAGTTTTGTGAGTGACTTGAGTGAAAATTTTGAAAAACAGTTTTTTGGAGTTTTTCTAATTTTCGAAAATTTTCAAAATGCATCTTGTGAAAATTGGAAATTTTATGAAACAATGCTGATTTAGGAAAAAAGTGATTTTCTTTTGGAAAAAAGGGAAAAAATTCTTATATCCAAAAGGGGCAGACAGTAAATTTCCTTAATTATTACTCCTTCAAAAGCATTTTCCATTTCATCTTTGTTTCTTCTTCCACGGTAATTACAATTTTGCAGAGTCTGTTTACATTCTTTACTCTATAAAATTGCATAACATACTTTCTAATCACTGAGGCACATTATACTATTTTTCTTGTTATGTTAAAAGTTCCCTAAAAATCTATTGCGGCTATCCATGGCAAAAGCACTTCACGTTTTCCAGAAGTAAGTTTTTGCTATATTATTATACTTTGCCTAGATGATCTGGACAATTGAAGATTAGTAGAATAATGTATAAGCTATTTAACATTTTCGCTTCCTCTTCTTTCTTTCTTCATCATTTTTTGTTTTTCTTAAA